ATAAAGCGGGCGCGTTTAGCATGAGAAATTTTTGAGTGGTAGTGTAGGTAAAACACAACTCACGCTGAAAAACCATTAACCATGTGGGCATAGCGAACCAAAACCAGGTCCAGCCATCCACAGCGACGCCGCCTGCCTGTTGTGACGCCAAATTCCCTCCCTCTGCTCTGAAGCAGATCACCAGTATCCTAGAACACATCAAGAAAAACATTAACAATTTTCAAATATAATACATGAGAGGGAATGTCGTGAGTTTTACCTTCTGACTGCCTCTTTACAACACACTGACAAACACTCACATTATCTTGCTCAGTAGGGAATGCCCCCACTCCCACCCTGGTGGTGTAGGCCTTCACCACTCCATACACACGGCCAACATGAGACGGCGGGACTCCAAGACCTGTGCAAACACCTCCGACAGTACAGTTTGATGAGGTCACAAAGGGGTAGGTCCCTGAAAGAGATGGAAACATTTGTATCATTCACACTGTCACACTCCAGTGGATCTCCCATTTTATGCAGGATTGCTATTCATACCGAAATCGATATCCAGTAAGGCAGCGTTGGCTCCTTCCACCAGAATCTTCTTGCTTGGTCCATTGAGGGCTTTGTGCATGAAATAAACCCCATCAGTTACTAGAGGCCGCAACCTCTCAGCATAACCCTGTGGGTGAGGTGGAGAAAATATTACTTGGCAGGTTCATGAATGAGAAGTTTCACTAATCATATTGAAAGATACCAAAATGCTAATCACCTTCAGTTGCTCAAGCTCAGCATCAATATCAATATTAAGGTTAGGATATGTGGTCTGAAAGTGACCAGCCAGCACCCGAAACCTGTGGAGAGATATTAACATGTATTTCTCTTTCGGCCATGAAGGTCAATCTGATCATTTAGGCACTGATTTGTAGCCTACACTAATAATATGTAATTGCCATACAATTATAATGTGATTTAAACTAAATAATGTTACAATATCAAGATAATCAATTAGCATTGCATAAACCTGCAGTTCTAAGACAAAGGTAGTCTGAAAGAAGCAAATATGCTCATTTTTATGGACAGTTTTCAGAAAAATTTAAAACAAATATATTAAGGCTTGTTCACACCGGGATGAATATCGCGCGCGATTATTGCCGACGTTTAACGCCTTGTGACTAAAAGGGCGCCAATGTGAGTGTGCACACCAAAAGCGCGAGGCGTAAAAGCGTCCCTTTTTAAAAAAACGCCTCGGGGTCGGTTTTTTGGTTTGGCGTGCCGCGTTAAAAACTGGCCGACCAATGAGATTGCCGCTTTTGTTCACGTGCCTGGAGCTGCTGAAGTTACAGTAAAACACAACTTGGTGGTGCTCAAGCACTAAACGGTCTTGCCGAGGACACATTGATACCTAACGACAAAGAGGAAGTAAGTAGACCAAGAAGATGCATCGAGGCAAGATGAATGTAGAGCTGCTGGTCTCATTGGTGTCTGAACACAAAGGGCTTTATGACAAACGTGACAGTGACTACAAAAATCTCAATAAGAGGGAGTTGTTATGGAGAGGAATTCCAGATCAAATAGGATTCGAATTTCTGTTTTTCATTAAGCGGATATGTCAGGGAGTGAATTTGCACGTTCACTCGGCTCATCGCCAGCGAAAATCGCTTGGGTATGAACACAAAAGACGCGTCGAAAAACGTTGACGATAAGCGCGGGCGATAATCGTCCCGGTGTGTACGAGGCTTTATACTGACTTTTCCTCAAAGACTGAAAAGTCTGAGACCAGATCACACACTCTCAGTCCATTACGTGCTGCTTTGGAAGAATATGCAGGTCCAATGCCCTTCTTAGTGGTGCCCAAACTGTAAAGCAAAGGAGGGTGAACTCAATAGTAATCTGGCTGAAAATGATCTACAAATTAAGCTTTTATAAATTAGCTTTTATAAGTGCAAAAAATGAAAACTCACTTCTTCCCTGCCTGCTGCTGTCTCAGCTGCTCCTGTATCCCATCAACGGCCTGATGGAAATTGAACACTACACAGAAAAAGAGAAGAGCTCTAATTCCAATGGAATAGATATGGAGTTTCTTGGTGTTTTTAGTTGTCAGAGACAATGCCGCACAAAGTCAATGTCATCAGGAATAAACCCAAATTACTCAAGGCCTGATGAAGTCAAAACAGAACCGTACCAATATGTGCCCGGTCAGATATCTTCAGCCGTTCCTCCCATCCTTGAAGTCCTAAATTAAACAAAGCAAAATAACTCATTAAAAGAAAACAAAACCCCCAAATACCTCATCTAACAGAGATGGTGGAGAAAGAAAATAAGATTACATATATATTACAGTTTTCAAGTATGTGATGGAATGTCACTGAGTTTTACCTACTGACCCTCTCTCCAATTGTTCTATGTAACAAGTGACTTGTTTCTTTGCTCTTCATGTATTTCTTTGTTCTTGCAACAACCACAACTTTTTGTAAGGAACAATGCTTTTTTTTCATAATTTTCATATTTTCTATTGGTACTGTGTTGCCTTTAAAGGGGTCATATGATGCGATTTCAAATTTTCCTTTCTCTTTGGAGTGTTACAAGCTGTTCGTGAATAGATAAGATCCCTGAAGTTGCAAAGACTAAAGTCTCAAAACCAAAGAGATATTCTTTATCAAAGTTAAGACTCTGCCACGCCCCCCTAAAAAAAATAATGATCTTTAAAAAAGCATCATATGACCCCTTTAAGTAGTTAAGATGTCCAACATTCCTTACATGTTCATTTACTAAAACAAAAAAACAAAAGAAAAGCAGCGAGGGATCACCAAGTCTAGATAACTATTTTTTTTAAACCGTGTTTATTTGGCAAAAAATAATTTGCATGTACTTTATAATAACAGCTGTTCTATCCAGATCTTGTATTTTTCATTTGGGGGCAAAAAAGAAAATGCATTGTGATATACATAAAATAATGAGATACAATTTTTTAACTATAGCCTATATCACAGACCTAATAAATAGGTTTCAAAAAAATAACATATATTGAGCAAATTATATTACACTGATGATATCACAATGACATAGTGACTTCAAGATTATGAATTTTACTCCGTGAACAGATAACTTACCATTGCCTTTCTGTGAGTTCTTCTCAGCCTCCTCAAAAAGTCCTGGCAGGTGTATCACAACACCATTTCCTGCGGGACAGAACAATAAAAGATCTCAGCAAACACAACACAAAAGCAAGTCAATAGCTCAGCATCTGATCCCAAACAATGAACCATGATCAATAAGATGAGAAGACTGCCAGTTTGAATGAAAAGTTATAAATGCATACTATGAGATGAAAACTAGGAGAAAGGTCAAACAAATCCATACCAATAAATGAGGTGGCCTTTTTGTTGAGAACACCGCTAGGCAGCAGGTGAAAATCATACTCCACACTGTCCACCACCACTGTGTGTCCCGCGTTATTCCCTCCCTGAAAACACACAGTTGTTATATACATGAGCGCAAGTATCGCGATAAGATAAAAATCCAGACGCAGGAAACGTTACATCACTTCCAAAAAGTGGCGATGGCAAAAACAAAGGAAACTTTGTTTTGCTTCACTTGTGAGGTTAGTGATGCGACTTTTGCAAATGATTCCTTCCGCTTTAACCTCATTAAAAGAGTATACTAACTGCAAGCCTCACACAGTACAGACATAACGCTTGCACAAACTCTCATAAACACAAAATAAGCGAGATGAGCGCTTGGATACCCACCTGGCATCTGCATACAATGTCGGCGTCCATCGCTAAGAGGTCGACCACTTTCCCCTTCCCCTCATCGCCCCACTGGGCTCCCAACACGACGGTCGCTTTATTCTGGGGCTCCCGCGGGATCCGCAGTGAGTCCACGCTGTCTCTGGAGCGCTTGAGCGCGGGTTCACCGTTCAGAGAGGCTGCTTCCTGACCATTAGACATTGTGCTGTCCGCAGCCATGCCGCAAGTGTGAGAAGAACAGCGTGAACGCGGCTACACTGCTCCAAGATGATTGCGCGCGAAAACATAAATAAAAGTCCGCTGGCCAAAAAGAAACAAAAGAGGTGGTGGAGTTTGCAAACACATGGCTGTCAAAACTGCACAAGGAATATGCATGCTTTAAAAATATTAAATTGGAGGGAGTGAGACTTACTATTGAAATTTAACTCAATTAAATTTATTTTCCACAGGTTGGTGGTATTGACAGTTTTTGACGCTCATCATATCTCACTTCACATGCGTATTTTGGCGGGTAGATGGTGTGCGAATATAAAAGTATTTTTGCGTTTATAACAATTTTTTTATTTTATTACTAGTAAACATTGTTTGTATTCATATTATTATAGTTAATATTGAAATTCCTTTTTTGGTCAACCATAACAGCTGCCAACCTCATTGCCACCTAGTAAATCTGTATAAATATTTACTTTAATTATAATAATAATCATAATACTACAACAGTTTTACTCTCTCTAAACTTCTTAAAATCAGCCAAACTAGTCTGGGCCACATTTCCAGATATAAGTGCATAAAGTTAAAAGAGCAATAAAACTAACCACTTCAACTATTAAAACATTCAGTTGTTAATTAAAACAGTTTAGAAAACATAAGAGAAGACATAACCTAGACATAAAAATGTGACAATGCTAGAATAACATTACATTGCTCAGGCTTGACAACGGAGGCTATGTCATGAACTGCAAGTAGCTTAAGCTCATTATCTTCTTTTCACACAGCAGCATGTTTATAAACTGGACTACATCCGACTACTACGCTCAACTCAGAGGACTGTAAGAGACTTGTGTTTTTGTGTTCACGGAAACATGGCTCAACAACAGCGTTCCGGACTGCGCTATTCATCTCGATCAGCTGACATGCTATCGAGCGGACAGAGCTCGCGTCGAGGGAGGTAAGACCCGCGGCGGCGGGCTTTGTGTTTACATCTGTGGAAGAATTGACAATAAAGCAGACTTGACTTGACTTGATGTTTCTTTGGAATAACGGACGATGTTATCAATCATAACCCTTTCAGAGACTTTTGAAGAAGAGTGTTGGATATCTGTTGTGTGTTGTTTACTGCTTGCCTGTATGTATGTTGGGAGTTTGTATGTATGGAGGGGAAACCTACCCAGGTAACTTAGTGAGGAAGCTGTGTCTGCAATCACTGTGCTATTATTTATCTAGGATTACAGTTCAGTTGCAGTGTATAATGTCTAAATCGTTCTGTAGGGATCACCCAAACACAATAAAAAGGCGTTTCACCAGTGTTTTGTGCGTGTCAGCTGCTTCACCACTGGTTGTGTTGGCATGGACAAATTCAATGAAAGTCAGGGTGAGTGTGGGCTGCCAGAGTGCCTCATGTATGTGACTGAATACTTTACAGGTACTTTATCAAGTGTTAAGATTATTTATTTATTTAATAAGTTATTATTTATCTATATAAATTGTTTTTAATTTAATATGATGTTTCTTTGGACTTGTTACAGCCAAGTCCACCATTGTGGGCACTGCTGGGCATTCGTCTAGACGGTTTTTTTCCTGCTGCTCTGTTGCCGCTGACACTCACTGTGGTATGTTATTGCTGTCTTCTCTTTTGTTTTACTCTCCATTTCCTTTGGATGTACAGTAACCGGTTACAAACCAGGCCTCTAAACCCAAATGTACACCTTATAATCTTTTAGTTATGCAAATTAAAAACAAACAATACCATCTGATAATGATTAATGGGGTCATTACATGAGAAATCAAATTTTGCCTTGATCTCTTGGTAAATAAGAGGTCTTTGTACTATTAAAACATCCTGCAAGTTTCATAGCTTAAAACGTCCTCCTCATTATAAACAACGCATTAATTTAATCAAGCTCCAAAAATGGCTAGTTTTGGATCTGAGGTGCAATGTGATGTCACCCGGGCACAAGCATTTGCATAAACACCGCCTCCAGACAAAGACATTGAGGAATAGCTTACTTGCTGCCTAGCTGCCTTATCAGGCGATGACATTGCAGGCAACGTTTTTACACAAGGCACCTCATGTAACTGATTTTGGACAGTTACATGAGGCTTGTGGGGCAGTATAACAGTTTAATGATCTACAACAAAATAGAACGAGTTTTGGTGATGTCTATATGAATATTTATTTACTATAGTACTGATTTTTTTGCTAGAAATAACATCAAAAGTGCAAAAAGTTAGTCAGAAATATACATTTACACACAAACTGACCACCAAATGCAACTTTCAGACGTCATATTTATTTTTTAGCTCACCCAATCACGGAATGGAATGCACAGGATTGTGGGATATCAATCAGTCAGGGCTGCTTTCAGCCGCGACAAAACGTTGCAAAACGTTTTTTAAACGGAAACGGTGGTGCGTTGAACACCCTGTTCTATTGACGCTAGAGTTGCAACTATGGCAGCTGAGAAGGGCATGCTTTGTGTTCTTTTTGAAGAATTTTCGGAGCCTGATGAAATCGGTATAAATACGTGTTTAATACTGCAAAATACGTGCGATGCTACAGTCACTGCCCTTGCTGTCCAGAATAAAAGAGATCATCCCAATCGAGTGAAGGGATCTGTGGAAACTGTGGTTCCTAATTATTGTGATCCAACATTTGCCTCACATTTCAAGTTGAAAAGACAAACATTTCAGGTGAAGGATACTTCTCCACTTCTTACCGCCGAGACTGTGTTATGATCTATATGACTTTATTATTTTTATTGTGAGTATTAGGCTTATCATTATTGCTGATCACTGTTGTTGTGCTATGATATTGTAATATTTACCATTATATAATCAGAGGAGTATAGAACAGATTCTTGAACTAGCAAATTACCAAAGGGCATTTTGGGTTGAGCGAGGGAGCGGAATCTTCAGAAGGGCGCTCTCCGCGTCGAAGGAAATATGACCGCTACGCTCCCTGCTCCGCTACACTCACATGCTCTGCTTGGAATGCATAATAAAAAATAAAAAAACTGAAACATATCTTTGTTATCTGTTTTTGCAAATGAACTCATCACTTGTTGAAAGATGAAGCGGTAGATCTGACTGCAGCTGCATCACAAACCGTAAGTAAATGATTTCATAATGCTTTGTCTGGAAATTACCATTTTATTTTTGATAATGTAGTCAAAAACACTCACATGCAATAGCGAGGGGGCATTGATACTATTTCCTATGCAATGACATTAGCCAATCATAACAGTGGGTGATTACTGAGAAGCTTTAAGGGACCCGCCCCTTAAAAACAGGTCGTTTTAGAGAAAGGGGCAGAATGAGGATTGAAAATAATGAGGATTGAAAATGATCATTTTTCCACATATTTATGTTTTTTTTTTTTTTGTGCAAAAACGTTATTAACATTATAAGTAAACCTCAAGGAACATATCAAAACAATCTTTAAAAAATCCATGTCATGACCCCTTTAAGCAAGCATTAAACCAAAAAAAAAAAATTTCTGTCTCTCTCTTTTTTTTTTTGGGCACAGGTACTATTTCTTGGACCTCTGACCCAGCTGGCAATTGAGAGTCCAAGAGGACTTTTTCATGATGTCAAAGCAGGCCTGAGTTAGTATGAACAATTAATATGCATTTTCATAATACCGGCATGTTAGAAGGATTTCTGAAGGATTCTGTGACACTAAGGACTGGAGTAATGGCTGCTTACAATTCAGCTTTGCATCACAGGAATAAATTACATTTAAAAATATATTCAAATAGAAAGAGTTATTTTAAATTGTAATAATATTTACTGTTTTTACTGTCGTTTTGATCAATTAGTTGACTTTCTAGATTTCTCACTATATATATGCATGTATATGATATTAAATATATGAGTAAAAATATTATTGAATATTAAAAAATGATCTCATGAATCTGAATATATTTGTTCATTGCATTTCATCACAATTTAATACTGAGATCTTCATGACTGAGCAGATTCTCGATCTTGGAGTAAGTGTGTGAAAGATTTGCGATGGTTGAGGAACCAGGTGGTGGCTCCATTAACAGAGGAGTTTGTTTTTCGGGCTTGCATGATTCCAATGTTGGTGCCATGCACTGGTCCCACTGCTGCCATCTTCATCAGTCCACTCTTCTTTGGCGTGGGTATGTTAAAGTAGCAAAAATATAATGTGGTCCATTCAGCAGATGGCGCTGTCAAGCTCTGATAATGAGCAGTGAATATGCCAGTATTGTGAATGCTTTTTTAAAGAGGTATTGTTCGGAGATGTTTTAAAGCTCAGCGTGTCAGGGAATGTTGGATTTTCCATTAATTGTTTTGATGACTTTACTGTGTGCTTTCTGTCCCACACAGCCCATTTCCATCATAACATTGAACAGCTTCGCTTTGGACAAGACACTGTGTTTGAGATCCTAATTTGTGCAGGTAAATGCAATTAAAAGTCATTTGGCATTGTCTCAGCTAAGACTTAATTAAATGTTATCTTTCAGCTTTCCAGTTCACTTATACTTACGTTTTTGGAGTCTACTCTGCCTTCATATTCATAAGGACAGGTGAGTATTAATGACATTTCTAAAGACAGTGTTGTCTAACTTGCGCCTCACATAAGATTTCAATATCTTAATGACCCAGGTCTGGTGGGACTCGTGTTGTGCCACTCGTTTTGCAACCAGATGGGTTTTCCTGCCATTGGCTCAGTTTTACAGCACCCACAGAGGCCTGTGATCCTGCTCTCCTACCAGCTGGGTGTTCTGCTCTTCCTCATCCTCCTCTTCCCCTTCACAGATCCTGCTTTTTATGGCATGACCCCCATCTGCAGTCTACTGCTTACACCTCGCTCTGCCTGTGCATGACACATCTTCACGGTGCCTGGATTGAAATGTACCTCACAGTCTTTAAAAAATATGACTGGGGAAAGAGCATGAAAGACAGTAAATGAAGCATGTTGCTTTCATGAAAAAGACATTCATCAGCCTAGATGATGAGTAAATGACTGTCATGTTTCATTTCCTTGCCTTTTTGTGGTAAGAGTGGCGTGTGGCTCAGTGGCTCATTCGAATGTTTTATTCTTTCATTATGCCCCATATTTCTTTTTCTTTCAGTTAAAATTATCAGCTGTCGTGTTGTTAAATTAAAACCAGGTGCTGATGTGTATAAAAGATGAGATGCTAGTCGACATTCAATAATACTAATCTCAGATGAGCAGCATTCTCTGCCTTGTATTCATAAGAATTCAGAAAAAAAGCATTATTATATATTTAAAAAAATATTAAGCAGCACAACTGTTTTCAACATTGACAATAGTCAGTTATTTTAGAGATAACATTAATATTTCAAAGTAGATTTTATTTTTTAATTTTTTTTTAAATGTTATCTTAAAATCATTACCAAGTAAACATTTTATTTAAGCTTTTTCAATTAGCAACAATTATTTTTAACAGTTTATATTAAAATAGAAATGTTATTTGAATTGTAATAATATTTCACAATATTGCTATTTTACTGTATTTCTGAGCATGTGAATGCAGCCCAATATAATGGATAAAACATCAATGTTGTCATGAGTGTACTTTATATGGTTTGCTGTCTCTGTTTCTATTTTCAAAGTTCAGTTATGGTGATGAGGACCAGTGTAATGGAGAACATATCTATAGAGACACTTAGATAACTAAACAAACAGATACAAAGAGCTAAAAATACCTGGTACATTGCTCTCCTGTGAACGCTCCTCATTTATGCACTAGCCTTTCAAAATAACATTGGAGTTTGTACCTATGGGAAGTAATTAGCAATGTGCATCTTCCAGCTAACAGGCAGTTTTATTTGGCTCTATCTCCTCTTGTTTGATAGTGATCTCCAATGATAAATGAATTTGTGCAACACATTTCCTGCAACATATTTCCTGTGTTTTTTTGCCACGCAACTTCTCAGGTCACGGCACAAAGAAATCTTCCATATGGACGCTCCTGCCAAATACACATTTCTGTGGAATGTTGGACTTTGAGGGTATTTGATTTCAAACCATGTGTTGGGCATCAGCAGCTGTCAGTCTTCCAATAATAATTGGCAATCAATATAACACACTATTCAATGTTCAACAAAAGGATTTCCACAAAAAACAAACACAGATTTTGTGTCTGAAACTTTGAGGACGTGTCAGCAGAGCAATGAAAAACTCTAGCTCTTTTTCTCCTCGGTGTGTTTGGAGTGTTCCGAATGGTTCTGCTCGGCTGAGGTAGACTGAGGCTCCAGGAAACTTTAATTCCAGGGTCCTCCTGAGGCCTGGTGGAAACCCAAATGCAGAGTATCTGGGAGCCGTAACAAGAGAGGCGCAGTGAGATGTCTGAGGTTTATTACCGTTCTCCAAACAGAGCGGTTGCCCTTTGCTTCATCTACATTGACCCTCAGGTGTGAAGGACTGAAGGAATTCAGTAGCTAAGAGAGTTTGCTTATGCTTTATATTGTAGCATATATATTCAAAAAATGATATCAGACTCTAAAGTGATTCACCAGAGAAGCTTTACCAGAAATCCAGATCTTCTGACTCAATTTTCCATGATGAATTAACGGTCACCCTCAGGAGCACCGGCTGACTTTTTGCGGTTGGGGGCCTAATGCAATTCCGAGGGCAGCCATTGTGTTCTGAAACTTTGAAGATATTTTGGCTCCCGGAACCCGTGGCGATTGTTAATGTGTTCACCATTCTCCCGTTATATGTTCACATATGTGTTTCATTGGCCTCATGCAAATATATGGTTTTCCACTGGCAGCGCCAATGACAAAACCATCAGTGCTGGTGAAATATGATGTAAGTTGGTGTATTCTGAAACCAAATATAGTTTTATTTTGTGCAAGGGTGATTTATTTGCCATTTTTCTATGGAAGATGTTCTGTTTTTCTAATAACCACAAGCAGCTATCAGTATCCACCAACACAGAGGAAGAAAAACGACTGACTGTTCTGAACTGAACTGAAGCTCATGGTGCAATTGCAGGCAAAATAAGAACGGCAGACGTGTTAAGCATATTAAGAACTTTGCGTTGGAAGCACATATTGTTTTAATAATTAGATTGTAAGAATATTGGAGTCTGGTTGAGGTCTGGGTTGCCTCCAGCTAGCCAGCCAGAGATCATGGAAATAATGAGAGTTTTAACATCATGACTCTTTCTCCCATTCCAGACTGTTTTTCTCGTTATTGGTCTCTTTTGCAGCAATTTAGCTGGCGAAATCTGGAATATTTTATCAGCTTTTCATTTTCCATTTCACACTGCTCAAACTCTTTTGCTTGCCTCAAAATCTTCTTGCCCCCTTCTCTTTCATAAGCAGGTGTCAGCTGGGCTTCGTTTATATCTGTCTGTTGTGTTTATAATCAAGGTGAAGAGTTAGAAAGACATTGATAGACCTGGAATGTCCATTAAGGGATCTGATCATTCCTTTTGGAAAGGCAAAATATACTTTGCACTGACAGTTGTGCATTGACTTAAAGAAGATTTTTAGGATCCCACAGCAATACAGATTGCTGTATGGTAAATGCACCACTTGTTGTAACGTATAGTTCCTCGACTTCCTATTCTTTCTGTGTACAAGCAAACAAACAAGTGGACCCAGGGTAATTGACTAATTTAAAAATGAATCCCTTTTCCTCTTCAAAGACAAGAAGGGGAGTTTTTGGTGTAATCATAGAAAGGCCACGATTTCCTGTCTGTGAGCAGCAGATGTTTATTGTTAGAACTATTTTTTTGCCACAAATTCACACAGATCTTGATCATTTCTGCCTCAACAGCATTTTGTTGTTTTGTTCTTTCAACGAGCCAAAGTAAATTGTTCTGTTGTAAATTAAAAAGCAGACTCTGTGAGCTTGCCATCTACCTGCTTTTCCATATCGTGTTACGTTGAATTCCACGAAACCCGCAACATTCCATTCATGGCTTTACATAGTATGTTTAACGCAGACCATACATTTAAAGATAATTGTTTTGCAAGAAAAATCTCGCTAGACTTTACCCTGTCATTTTTCTTGATGTTTTGAAACATGGATAACTGGAACATATTTAATGTTCTCTAAGATGTGGCTTTGTCTTCAAACCATCCTTCCGCTCCACAATGTTAAATGGGCTAAATAAAACAACAAAGGAGACTGTGCATTGTATCCTGAGGACATGTGACTACACCGTTGTTCTTTTGAAAGGCTGGGGAGTAATTCAAGATTGAGATGGAGACAGTTTAGAAGGTCTGAGCCCTTGCAAAAAATCTGAAAGGAAACAGGCTAGCTCAGCGAGATGTAAATACTTTAACAGTAATTGAGTCGCCTTTTCTCAAAGTGAAAAGTCCTTGGGAATACATTCTGCTGAATACGTTTGCCACGTAGTCTTGACTAATAGATTCAGGATGTCTAATGAATGATGAGCGGCTTCTGCCTCCTGCTCAGAGGCCCTGTAGGGTCGGCCTCGCTTGAGAGCCATGCCGCTTTAAGTCAATAAACAAACGATGGAACCCATTAAATCCGTACGCACATACTGAATGAACTCAACACCTTGTTTTTGTAAAGCTCATTATCATTGTACAGCGTGTACTGCCTCAAGGTAGTAGTGCGTCTAAGGTATGTGTGAGGTAAAAGTGCTAAAAGGCCATAAGCTAATTTTATTTTCTTTTATCCTTTTTTCATGGCCACCTGTTTAAGATTGATATACACCAGTGCTTTTCAAATTGTGGGTCGTGACTTTGGTGGGTCAGGCGGAGTGTGAGAATGAAGCATTCATGCCATTTCAGAAATATAAAGAAGCAAGTTCTCAAATTCAGTTAACAAGTTTGTTGTTGGGCATAATTTGTATTTACATTTTTCTGACATGATTCACCAGAAATGTGTTGCAGAATGTGCATTGTTTCTTGCTTGGAGGCAACTTTGGTTGTGTGCTGTAGCACGCAAAAATACAGAGAGACTTGTGTAATCCGATTCACTAACAAATGCCTCTATAATATCCAAGATGGCGGCGCGGTCGGACGCAGTGGCTACTCCGGGTCCCAAAAACTGTGTTTTTATGTCTGTTAGTCTCGTTTCCTCGTCTTCAAACAAATCCCCACATGCAGCAGAATGACAATAAAGCTCAACTTGACTTGACTTATGAATTGGTTATTTTATTGAATCATTCATTAGGATTTGCGAACTCAGGAGTTACTGATTTAAAGGGATAGTTCACCCAAATATGAAAATTACTCCATGATTTACTCACCCTCAAGCCAGGTGTATATGACTTTCTTCTTTCAGATGAATACAATCTGAGTTACATTAAAAAATGTCCTGGCTCTTCCCAGCTTTATAATAGCAGTGAATGGGGGTTGAGATTTTGAAGCCCAAAAAAGTGCATCCATCCATCATTTAAAGTACTCCACATGGCTCTGGGGGGTTAATAAAGGCCTTCTGAAGCGAATCGATGCATTTGTGTAAGAAAAACATCCATATTTAAAACTTTATAAACCATAATGTCCAGCTTCCACTAACTGTCGTACTCATGTTCACGAGAGAGTGGCAGTTGGTGTAGTGTAAGCTCTGGTGAGAATATGCTAGTCTCGCGAGAACCAAGTTTTGTTTGCAGGAGCAAAGAAAAACAAGTCTCCTCTTGGCTTATATCAAAGTCATATACATATACACCTATGATGGCTTGAGGGTGAGTAAATCATAGGGTAATTTTCATTTTTGGGTGAACTATCTCTTTAAATCCTTCTAACGAATGCTTTACTGGGTGGCTTCTGAATAAACATATGATTTACTTATTGAACTGCAAAGTCAATGCGTAACTACATTAATATGGCTGCTCTTACTTGCTGTGCCACCAAGAAAGCAAAAATATTCTTTCTTTTTTTGCATGCACAGTCATGTCTTTGTTCATGTCCTCATTTATAGCTTTCCATACGCATTGTGGAAATGTGATGAAATGTAGGCAAGTTAGCAGGCTTATCCAACGAAATAATTTTACAAGGAAAATATATATAAAAATATTTTTTTTTCTTCAGAAATTGTTCCAAAACATTTATGGTGGGTCTTGAGATTTATTATACATCTCTGTGTGGTTCCAAGCATGAAAAGTGTTCCTGCAGCTTAAACAGTAAAGTGTGCCGCTAACAACATCAAGGTCATAGGTTCAATTTGCAGGGAATGCATGAACTAATAATATGGGAATGCAGTGTCACTTTGGATAAAAGCATCTGCCTGATGTAAAGAGTCTGCTCTAGACTATTCACAGTAGCATCAGGGGTTTTCAGATTGTTCTCCTTA